AACATCTTTTAAGATGTTTCATAGCCATCTTTACTTCTTCTTTTGCAAACACACATACACATAAAATAAAAATAAAATAAAATAAAAATAATAAAAAATTTTTAAAAAATCAATTGTTGAGCTGGAAATGTAGCTCAGTGGTATAGCGTATACCTAACGTGTGAGGCCCTGAGTTCGATCCTTAGTACTAACCAATGAAATAAATAACTGACAAAGTGAAGGGGGGTACCTCAGTGGTAAAATGTTTGTTTAGTGTGGACAAGTCCCTGGTTTAGTCCTAAGTACCCTGCCCAAGAAAAATTATAAGTATGTATAATTGAGGAAATGAAACAAAATTGTATCATTTTCCCTATCTCCAGAAATGTGCAGTCAGAGGGCAGGAAGCATCACCTTTGGACCTGGTGCCTTCATCCATCCAAACTAGATGTTAGCCTTCATAATGACATTCTGGGTCAGAGGGAGTAGAGGTGGGGGAGGCTGTGAGGGCACATCTGCAGGGTGTGGTCACTGGGGCATGCAGATGGGAGAGAGCCAGGGCTTTATCTTAGCCAGTCAGACACTGCTGTGTGATTTCCAGTCACTCTGAGCCTCATAGAGGAAGTGAGAAAAGAAAACGACAAACGACCATTCTGATTCTCATACCGATGTCTCTAATATTTAGGACAGACTGGCACATGGTCCACAAAACTGAATTTCCTTTGGAAAACCTTTAGTGTATCTTGTTTTATGAGAGCGTTTGGAAAGTTGGAGACCATGAGTGCCTAGCCATCCTGCTTTTCCCCCAGGCCAGACTTTCAGTGATCCCTTAGTGCCCCCACTGGACCCCTTTGATCTTGAGTGGACACATCCTGCAGTGCCTGTCTGGGCTTATGTTCTGTTGTCTCGGGTAGAAAGAGAGGTTTTTCTTTTAAGAACTGCTCATACCTTCCGGCTCCTGTGAGAGCTTATCTAGGCTATAGTTCTACCGCAACAGGCCCTGCTTGCTGTCTCTTCCACTGACCATTTTGAAGGGATGAAGGGAAGTGATCCTGACACACATAACCTTATAAACCACTCTGCTCATTGGATAGGAATTGGGTCTCATGAGAGGAAGAGTACAGGATTAGAATCAGAGGACCTAACTCTGGTCCCTGCCCTAAAAGCCACTTCACTTTTGTGCTTCTGTCCTCATCTTCAAAGGGGAGAGAAACAGAAATGTAAGAGATGTGAGCTTAAAGGTAGGCTGCCATTCTGGGCGTGGTCGTGCTCACCTTTAATCCCAACACTCAGTAGGCAGAGGCAGGCAGATCTTTGTGAGGTCAGCCTGGTGTGCATAGTGAGTTTCCAGGCCAGCTGGGGCTACAAGAGATCCTGTCTCAAAAACAAAACATTAATAACAAAAAAGACTATCATGCTTAGATGAAAAATGTGGAATTTACTATGGGATAGAGACAAGTGATACCCAGAAGTGGATGGAAGGTACATAGGTATGGGGAGCCTCCTAGGAAAGCCATCCAAAATCTCCTCAAAAGCCAAACTCCTGTTTTTATTCTACCATGAAGTCCTTCCTCGCATTGATGTCAGAAACAGCTTAACACTGCCCATAGTGGGTTGCCAGTACTTTATCTCCTCTCAGGCTGACTCGTGTTAGAGGGCTGTAGTAGAACCAGATCCAGACTGCAGCAGGTGCGAGACTTTATAGGAGTCTGCTGTTTAGTCAAGGCCACAGTTCCCCTAAAGCAAGCAGCCAAACTTACCTGTTATCAGCACTCTTCCCCGTTAGTAACAATCTGAATTCCACGGGATGGCTCTTTGCCCCTCATGTATTTCTATGGAGGCCTTCAGAATCATGTCTCTGAGAGCAGATACCCATTGAAAACCTCACCATGGTACCATTTCCCTTTGACTTTGCAGTGTGCCCTCTGCCCCCAGAGCCAGAGAATGGTGGCTACATCTGCCACCCCCGGCCCTGCAGAGACCCCCTGACAGCAGGCAGTGTCATTGAGTACCTATGTGCAGAAGGCTACATGTTGAAGGGCGACTACAAATACCTGACCTGCAAGAATGGCGAGTGGAAGCCGGCCATGGAGGTTAGCTGTCATCTCAATGAAGGTAAGCCTGCAAGGGAGTGCTGCCTGGGTTCTGCTCTCTTCCAGCTCCTGGGAAAACAGTACATGCTTTCTCCAAAGTGACCTTGGTTGAGTTACAGCCCTGCGCTCTCTCTTTCTTTGGTTTTTCATGTCTTTGTGGAAGTCATCAGGGTTGTTGGTGCATATCACATTCCTCTGAACCACTGAAGGGCATCTGCCCTGCTATGTAAAATTGAGTTTCGTTTTCTATGATGAGGCCCTGGAATGTGTGCTGAATACAGCACCAAGTAAGATGCAGAAGCATTCCTTGTTGCCTTCCCAGAAAAAAAAAAAAATGAGTTTGGTGTTCAGAATCCCTTGTTTGTCAGTCCAAGTGCTGGTGACGTTAAGACTGTGTTCTGCTAGCATAGTGAACACAGTGCAGACACCTTTTTCAATGTCTTTTTTGTTTCATTTTTCCTTGACTAGAAACTGATTGTTTTGTTACAGAGCTACCACCCCCCTTTGCCTTCCTTGCCACCTCTTGTCTTATGCAATAGGAAAATGCAGCTTCCTAAAAGGGAAATGTGGATCTAGAGAGGCTCAGTGGCTAAGAGCACTGGCTGCTTAGGACCCAGGTTATGTTCCCAGCACCTACATAACAGCTAACAACTGTAACTCCAGTTCCAGGGCATCCGACACCCTCTTTTGACCTCTGCGGGCATTGCACAACATGGGTACACTTACATACGTGTGGGCAGTGTACTCATACACATAAAATAAAAATTATTTTTAAAATATTTTATTTATTTATTTATTTATTTTTCTTTTTGAGACAGGGTCTCTTTGTAGCCCCAGCTGTCCTGGAACTCACTGTGTAGACCAGGCTGGCCTCAAACTCACAAAGATCTGCCTGCCTCTGCCTCCTGAGTGCCCAGATTAAAGACATGCACCACCACACCCGGCTTTTTATTTGTTATTTTTATTTTATGTGTATGAGTGTTATGCCTGCATGTAGGTAAGTGCACCCGTGTCGTGCAATGCCCTCAGAGGACAGAAGAGGCTGTCAGATCCCCTAGAACTGGAGTTACGGACAGTTGTTAGCTGCCATGTGGGTGCTGGGATTCGAACCCAGGTCTTCTGCAAGAACAGTGTTCTTAACCACTGAGCCATCTCTCCGGCCCCAATTTTTTAAAAAAAGGAAATGTGAGTCACATGGCCATCTCTGTGCTTCACACTTGGGCTTCAAGACCAGAACATGCTTAACCCACAATACCCCAGAAGTGGATGGGAACTAATCTGGGATTTACAACAAAGGCTGGGGGGTTAGGACAGGAGCTTATTATTCTTTATTTCTTCTTTTTAAAAAAGATTTATTATGTGTGCTTGCATAAGTTATGTGCACTGTGTGTGTGCAGGCCTGAGAAGGTCAGAAGGCATCAGATCCCCTGGAACTAGAATTATAAGCAGTTGTGAGCAGCCAGATTTGGGTGCTGGGAATCAAGCCCTGGTCCTCTGCAAGAGTAAGTAGTAAGCACTCTTAATGCTGAGCCCTCTCTCCGACCCCTGTCTAGTTCTTAATCATCCTGCTACATGGAAAAAACATGGCGGAAGGCGGCACTCAAGATGGTAGAATGGTGTGCCCCTTTTAATGCTTAATGTTCACCACCCTGCTGTTGATGGTATAAGAACTCCACGGTTAAGTGAGTTTAGGTACTAGATGGACTTCAAAGGCTGGAGTGAGGAGGACTCTTTTATTCAGAAACAGGAAAAGGAAATGTTTCCGGGACACCATGTATACATAGTCCACTTTACAAGATTTTCCTGAAAAGACCCAGCTGTGAAATGTTTCTGTATGACCCTGTGCAGGGGACATACATCAGCTATAGAGTTCATGTATTATGTGTCTGGGTACCAAATGCTTCTGATGATCCCTTGTTTCCATAGACAAAGAAACCCACACGTCACTTGGGGTCCCTGCACTGTCCATAGTGGCTTCCACTGCCAGCTCTGTGGCACTCATTCTTCTCCTTGTGGTGCTGTTTGTACTGCTGCAGCCAAAGCTGAAGTCTTTCCATCATAGCAGGTAAGCCCAGTGCCCATCAAGCATCTCTGTGGGACCGGTCTTGGACTGGTTATGGGAGACTGGTGGCTTACAGCCTTTGCTAGTCTATATGTCCTAGGGAAGTGGGGCAGGGGGAACCTTGCCATGTGGTAAATCCTAGATGTGCCTGGCACTGTGTTTTCTTGCTTTACATACATTACTTTGATCCTGATGGGAACGTTGCAGACAAAGAAACTGAGGCTCAGTGAGGTTGAATCATTCATCAAGTCATATCTCAGGACAATAGCAAAGCTGAGATTTGAACTTAAATCTTTTCATCCCCAAAGTCTGTAGTTTCATCAGTCGTCTCTGAGTATGGTTCTAACAGACTTGGCATCACTTCTGACCATCTGTATGGGATACTTTGGGGCTGAGGCCCAGTGGTGGGGTTTACAGCCCTCCATATGACTCGATTCCTGCCCATATTTGCAAGACACCACCCTCTACTCCTAATTTCTAATCTTTAGTATACCTTGGCCTCCCCCAAATTCTGATTTATTTGGTTTAGAGTGGGATTCTGGCCTTATAGAATTTTATAGAAGGCTTCTCAGATAGTTTTACTCTATAGTGAGAATCCAGGACCACTGTACCACTCTGAAATTGGAGGAAGTAGGTTTTCTTGCCTACATTCTCCTCTTTTTATCATAGTGCATTATTTATGAATAATGTATCCCAGACTCTGGGGGTGGAGGATGGCAAATGACGGGGCACCAGTGAAAATGGCCCAAGTGTATTCCTGATAGAGGACTTCTTGACTGTACTATCTTGACCTTTACAATTGCTCAGCACCCCTGTAGGTGAACTTACTGACTTTAAAGAATATGTCTTTATAGTCATTATTAGCCCACATCAATCACTGTCTTAGCTCACAGCAGCCCAAACTAAACCACCTGTAAAATGCTCCAGATTTGGAACTCACAGACAAGGACTAACCTAAATTGAATCTCTGTATGGAATGTGATTTTTTTTTCCTGTCTTCCTTTTGTTTTGTTTGGAAGAAGGGGTGGTTATTTTTAAAGGTTGTTAATAGTATAAAGGGGATTTTGAAGGGAGATATTTACTTGAAAGAATCAGCTATTTCCACATGAAGTCGTACTAATCTGCATTTCATCAAGGCTAGGGAATTTTATTTCCCCTGTAGTTAACCAGTACATCTGTTAGAAGTAACCAATTGATTCTTTTTGCTTGAGGAGGAGGGAGATTTGTTTTTTATTATGTATGTCTGGATACCAAATGCATGTACTATGTACCTGCACTGCATTTGTTTGTTTATTTGTGTTTATTTATTCATCTACTCTTTTGGTGTAGGGGCTTGTGTGTCCCCACAGTGCATATGTGGAAGTCAGATGACAACATACCCACAGTAGATAAGTAAACAAACAAACAAATAAATGTAGTAAAAATTTTTAAGGTTTTCCTCCCATCCAGAAATCTCTGGGTACTTTTCAAGGATGCTACTTATCTTCATTGTATGTTATTTGACTTGGGTAACACAGATTTTGTGCCAAGTGCCCATGAGGAAATTGAGAACTAACCGCTTTGGAGCAATGGTAGTGCAGGGTGGCAGTAAACCACTATGTTTCCCAGTGTAGGAGCTGAAAGAACAGATCCTCCTCTGTGTAGTCTTCTTGGTTAAAGTTGACCTAAGTCCAGTTAAAAGGAAATATAATCTAGATTATATATGAATTCTAACACAAATGCAAGAAAAGACACATAGCAAAGTCTATATTCCTCCATGATCTAAAGGTGACACTGGTGTACATTCTTAACGGAGGTCAGGAACTGCAGCGCAGACTCCCACATCCTGTCTGCCACAAGGACTTTACCACCACTATCCACAACATCCAGGTTGTGGGACATCCTACTAGAAAGCTGACCTGGATGCTTAAAAAAAAGTCATTGTCCAGCTGGAGAATTGGCTCAGTGGTTAAGAGCAGTGACTTCTCTTGCAGGGGACCCAGGTTCAGTTCCCAGCACCCACATGATGGCTAACAACTGTCTGTAACTCCAGTCCCAGTGGATCTGACACCCTCTTCTGACCTCCACAGGCATTGAATGACACAGGTGTACTTACATACATGCAGGCAATACTCTCATACACATAAAATAAAAATAATAAATAAAATATTTTTAATGTGTTATAAAAGAAAAACTTTGTAGTGGGCTGCTTATATTAATGGAAATGAAAGGGGCAGGACATCTAAACACAGTATATATTTGATTCTAGATAAAAACAAAGAACAGCTGCAATGAATAATATTTGTAGGTAGTTTGAGAAGTTAATATTATAGTATGATATTATACTAGTGTTAAATTTCTGGGATGTACTGATACTGTATGGAAAAGGAAGTCCTAAGGTTCATGACAATTTGTATTTTCACTATATTTCCAAGTGTTTCAGGGGAAAAAAAGGCATGTATACATACAGCAAAAGTGATCCCCAGAAAAGGTGTGCGCATGAATAAATCTCATGATGTTGAATAAAGGAAGCCACAGTTGTGCTTGTCTGCACATTCAAATTTAGATCTAAACTAGTATTGAAGGGTTCATGTTGTAGTACGACTGTTAAAACTTTAAGTAAGCCAGGCCTAGTGGTGTACGTCTGTAATTCCATCACTCGGAACCTGTGGTAAGAGGATTCTGAGTTTAAGGCCATTCCAAACTGAATAATAGCAAGACACTGTATCTTGAAAAAGAAAAAAAAATCAAAGGAGTGTCCTGTGCCAGGACAGTCATGGTGAAGTCCTTCTGGTATTGAGGAAGTGGGAGTGACTAGGACAGGCATGAAGTGTCTGGGCTGCAGATCCTGACCTCAGTGGGAATGTATACCACTGTCACTTTTGGATCATGCAAGGATCTGTATGTGTGTTAAAAATTCATATATAATTTTTTTTTAAGTTTCAAAAGCAAAAGTAGTTATGTCAGAAGAACAAAATTCTTACCAGGTATGGTGGTGCATGCCTTTAATCTCAGCAATTGGAAGACAGAGGAAGGTGGATCTCTGTGAAGTTGAGGCCAGCCTGGTCTATATAGCGAGTTTCAGGCCAGCTGGAGCTATCAGGAGACCCTGTCTCAAAAAACCAAGGCCAAAACAAAATAAAATTCTTTTGCCTCCCTCCTGTCGAGTATCACATTTCAGAACAAAGATTCCCTTCCCTCTTTTCTCCTTTCCCTTCCTCCCTCTCTCTTCATCTCTCCCATTAACAGTTTTATGGAGACACATTTATGAAGCAGACAATGTATGTATGTGTACAGTAAAATGGTTTTCAGGGTGTTTACCATGGTGCCCCCCCCTTTTTTTTATCCTAACTGTTAAATGGTTACCTCTAGGCACTTAGTTTTTGCATAGAACAGAAGTTCAGATGCCTATGAAACCCACAGGTTAAAAACAGTCTTTGGAAGTGGGTAGAACTATGTAAATCCCAAGTTCATCTTTTGCTAGCTTTTTCATTGTGGACAAGTTACTTAACTTCTCTGAGCCAAGCCTGTATTCCCGATAAATCCCTACCTAGAAGGACTTAGGTGAGGGATTCAATGTACTGAAGTGTTGAAGGTAGTTACTGCTGTGCCTGGCATATATTAAGTGCTGAAAAAGGATGGATGTTGTTGGTATTAACTTGTACACCTCTGTGTTATTCTGATTCTTCTTTTGTCTTTTTTGTTTTCTGATCTAGGCGTGACCAGGGAGTATCTGGGGACCAAGTCTCCATCATGGTGGATGGGGTCCAGGTTTCACTACCTTCATATGAGGAAGCTGTATATGGCAGTTCTGGTCACTGCATGCCACCTGCTGACCCCAGAGTTCAGATTGTTCTGTCAGAAGGATCTGCTCCCAATGGGAGGAACATGCCAAGGGAGCAGCAGCAGCAGGGCCAAGGGGCCTGCTCCTCTGCAGGTGGAGAGGATGAGGCCCCAGGCCAGTCTGGACTATGTGAAGCCTGGGGCTCCCGAGGGTCAGATACTGTGATGGTGCACCAGGCAACCACCTCTTCCTGGGTGGCCGGCTCAGGGAGCAGCCGGCTGGCACACAAAGACACTGCAGATTCAGAAAACAGTGACATACAAAGCCTTTTATCCCTCACATCAGAGGAGTACACAGATGGTAAGTGGTCCTTCCTGGGAGGAAGCTCCTTGGGCCACTCTAATATTTTGTATATTTTCAGCAAAGGAAGGTAATAGCCAAGGTATTAGCCTATAAAATAGGACTTTGTTCTCAGTGCCAGGTAGTGCTTTGGGCTCTCTGTAGGGAGACTTTTCACTGTTATCTATGAATTTTGATGGTTCTGTAGTCTGAGATTGTTCACAGCCACAGACTATGCTAGAGGTTGGGATCTTGTTATAATTTTTGTACTCATGAAAGGTCAGGAATAACAAGGAGTCCTTGGATTGTACCATGGAGAAAGCAGTAGCCTGCCTCTCTTGTAGGGCAGAGAGCTGCTTCATTTTACACAGTGGTGTGTCTTTAGTTTCTTTGTACTATCTCAGTTAAATCTGACAATGATTCTGGGTTGTAAATACTTTCCCACTTTACAGATAGGGAAAATGGGGCCCAGTTTCACTTGTCACTTGCCCACTGGTAAATGACAGAGGGGGTCTTTTTGAGATAGAGTCTCCCTATAGCCCCAGCTGGCCTGGAACTCGCTATGTAGACCAGGCTAGCCTCAAACTCACAGAGATCTGCCTGCCGCTGCCTCCTTAAAGTCATGCACCACCACACCCAGCTGGTTCCTTCTTTTTGCTCATGTATTGAACCCGTCTTTGGAGGATTTTGTTTATTTTCATTTTCTGAGACAGGGCTTCTTTGCATAGCTCAAGCTGTCTTGGAACTCATTATTTCCTTGTTCCAGACCCTGGCTCTTTTTTTTTTTTTTTTTTGGAGACTGAAACTCACTATGTAGACCAGGCTGACCTTGAATTTAGAGTTCTGCCTGCCTCTACCTTTTAGTACTGGGATTAAAGACATGTGCCACCATGCCCAGCTTAAATAAACATTTTTGAGAGCCCAGCAGATTTTTCAGGAGTGACACAAATAGGAAAAATACTCCCTGTTGCATGGAGTATCAGTTAGTTGGAAAGATGGTGCTTATACTAGAAAAATAATGGAACAGCTGGGCATGGAGGCACACCCCTTTAATCCCAGCACTTGGGAGAGGCAGAAACCAGCTGATCTTTGTGAGATTGAGGCCAGCCTGGTTTCCATAGCGAGTTCCAGGCTTGCTGAGTCTACAAGGAAATGCTGTCTCAAAAAGATGACAGACGGGAGGGAGGGAGGGAGGAAGAAAAGGAAAAGAATAGAACTAAGAATTGGAGGGCTAGCCAGATATTGTAGCTCACCACTGCAATCCCAGCACTCCAGAGGCTGAGCCAAGAGGACCATGAGTTCAAGGTTAGCTTGGAATACATAGTCCATACCCTATCTCTGAAATAAACAAATAAGACTAGCAAGATGGCTCAGTGGGTAAAGGTACTTGCTGCCAAGCCTGATGATCTGAGTTCAGTTCCCAGGATGTACCTGGTAGAAGGAAATAATTGACTCTTGCAAGTTATCTTCTGACCTGCACATGCACACCATGACAGGTATACACACACACACACACACACACACACACGCACACATAATGTAAAAAATATATAAAAAGCCAGGTGTGATGGCACCCATCTTTAGTTCCAGCACTCAGGAGGCAGAGGCAGATGGATCTCTGAAATTGAGGTCAGCTTGGTCTGCATAATCCAAGCCAGCTGGGGCTACTAGGAGACCCTGTCTTTTAAAAACAAATACACAAATGCACACACATACACACAATAATGAAATAAAAATTGTAGGACAAGATACCTGTGTTATTTTTCATGACATGTTATGCCTGAGCTGTGTGATTCCTAGGAACTTGAGGCATGCTGACATATGAGAAAACCAAAACAGGGAAGTGATTTATCCAGGATCACATAGCTAGCAGATGGCTTTAAGGAGATGGTGGAACTTAAGCAGGACCTTGTTGCCTCTTAGAGTGGAGTTAGAAAAGAATTAAAAGTGACTAGACCAATGGGGGCAGGGGGTGGGTGGAACCGGAAGGTGTTTGAATGTCAGGCTCAGCATTGAGATTTTATCACACAGGCAGTAGGAGAGATGAACCAAAAAGGCCAGAAATAGAAGGCAGGAGATTTTTGACTAGCTAGATATGTACAGCAGAATGTTTTGTTTCTTTAAAGTCAGGCTGTGTAAGGTCCCTGAAAGTGGGGTCAGGAATGCTATGAAGAGATCCCTTTGGATAACCACTGTGCTTTCCCTCCCTGTCTCCTTGCAGATATCCCACTGTTGAAAGAAGCCTAAGGGCTGCCACTGGCCTCTTTCCTCTCTACCCTTCCTCTGTCTCCCTGTGGGTTTGAGCATCATGTCCTCTCCAGCCATCCCACCCAGATACCTGAGCTGTCACCTGTGTATCTGTGTGTCCCTGAGGGCCCGCAGGCCATCTCACTGGAAACTCAAGGAAGATTCTCGCCATCTGCCCGCTGGACAGCTGGAAGAGCCGGCTCTTTGCCTGGCCCAGCCTTCCCATCTGTCAGGGACATGTTTGAATATGCTGGATCGAGCCCTCCTTTCCCTGAGCCTCCAAGTCCCTTCCAGCCAGCTTTCTGGTGGCAAACCCCACAGCCATGAGGGCCTGAGCACTGTTGTGTTTACTTGTGCCTTCCTCCACCCTGTCCAGGTCCCCTGTTGTGCCAGTGGGTTGCTATCCACAGGCCTTAGTGGCTACTGCCAACTGCATAGGGGGACAGGCCTGGGGCTTCAGAAGCAGAGTCAAGAGTGAAGGCCCTCAAAGCAAGAATGACTTTCACTGGGCTAGAATGTGAGTCTCTGGGTTTGCCCTATGTTGACACTGGTGGTATGCTTCCTGGACTGAGGATAGCCACTTTATGAAGTCATACCAAAACTGTCCAGCAGTCAGCTGTCCAACTCAGGTGCAGGTTCCTGGCTCTGTTGAGTTGAGAGTTTCCAAGAAGCACCCAGAAGACCCTGTGGGAGGGAAGGAAGGTGTCAGATAATGATTGTCTTCCTAATATGCAAGTCCTCACTTCCTGCTTCCAGCATTGGCTGCCTTAGCCTTGGTTTTTCTGTTCCTGCATAAGAGGAAGTTGCATGCTGTCTCTTGGACTTTGTCCTAGGCAGCTCTGGCTTCCTTGTAACCCATAGAACCCTGAGATTTACTGAGATGCCACTGAATGCTCATCCAGGTTCTGGAAGTCTGGGCAAGTTGCCCATTTCTAGGTTTGTGGTGACGGAGGGGAGGCTGAGAGGCACAGACCAAGTCCCCGGGTGGCTGCAGGCAGCTCCAGCCCGGTCCTGAGGATCCTCCTCACCACGGTCATGTGCCTTAGTAACTATGCCCAGGAAGTGGCCTGCAGCATCGCTGCTTTTCCTTTTTCTGCCCTTTTCCATGCTCCTCCGCATGTTGCTGACAAGCCACTCCTCATCTTCCCTGCAAGGCTGAGAAATGGTCCTAGCACCCCTGGCCTTACCAGCTCAGGTGGACCAATGGGTATCCAGAAATTTGACTTCCAAGGCCTCTTTAGACTGAAGCCTAAGGTGTAGGCCCTGGGAGTAGGGACATATTGGTAATTGAGGAAGTACTCCAGCCACTATACTGGGGCATCCTATGGCCCTGCACAGTATGTTGACAAGCCTGGGCAATCTAGTTCCACCAGGCTGCTACCATCTTGGGAAGATAGCTGTGTCATCAAGGAATGTTGCTTTTTGGTTTTTCTTTCTTTTTGTTCTTTTCTTTTCCTCAAGCACCTGGACTGGGAAACTTTGAAGCTGACCCTGTACTGCACCTGTGATGTTCCTCACCGAGCCTCCCTGGGGTAGTAAAAAATAACAAAAAGCCCTGTATCTTTTTAGTCCCTGACCTAACAGGTTAGCCTCAGACATCAGTGGCCTCAGAGATAGGGGAATGGCCTTTTCCCAAACCACAGCCCACTGCCTCCACTCACAACGCACTTTACTCCCTGGTCAGGGCTGGCCTCCTGCCGCCGTCATCTTTCCTCTCAGGGTAAGGGCAGTACCTGCTGTTCCTGCTGGCTACTCCCACACATTCTCCACCTAGGTTGTCATCTGTTGTGCCCAGTGTCCAGGCAAGCATGGTTGGCAAAGGAATGGGCTAGAGAAGGTGCTAGAAGACAAGCCACTTTATCATGGCTCTCCTGCACCCTTGGTGGTGCCCAACCTCTTGGTAGGGAGGAGTGGGGCAGAGGAGCAGGAGTCTTCCACATGAGCCCTCTTCTAAAATCTGAATTCTCTTCTAGGAGTTTTTAAAGTTAAAGATCCTTCCCTTCTCTGTATCTTCACACTGGGTTTTTTGACCTCTAACAGATTGCACTTTTTGTTTTGGTCTTATTTGGCCAGGTAGGTAACTGGCTTGGCCCTTGGGTAAAAGAACCTGCTGGTGCCTCCTTCCATCTCATCATCCATTAACCTGCTCTGGTGATGACAAGCTCAGGCTCACCTAACTGGAGGATAAGAGGGCTACACTGCCCATTCCCCTCCCACCCACCGCTGCTGGTGTGACTTCTTCCCAAGTTGTTTCTCTTTCTCTAAAGCAATTTCTTAACCATCAGCCATATGCTGTGATTTCTGGGGCTTTGGGGCTTTGTCCTTTGCAGAGGGGCTGGGAACTCCGCAATTGCCTTGAGGTGGGGCCTGGCTAGTAACAGGGTCAGTGACAGGTGTCAGACTTGTTGGGCAGGAAGAAGCTAGCCACAGCCTGCTTCCCTGGACTTACCTCCAGGGGCATCCTGCAGACTTGTCCAGGAGAGACAGTCAGCACCAAAGGACTTTTGCAAAGTTTTTGTTTAGGGGGTGTTTGGTTTGTTTTTTTCACATTTGAGCTGATTCAATGCAGGTTTTATATCCTGGTGACTTGCAGTCACATTCTATCATCTTTCAAGGGCCAGAATTTTTTTTTAATCACTTAAAATTTCCATCCCTCTGTAAGACTTTAGCAGGTAGGCTCTATCTTTTACCATTTCTGTATTTAGTGTGCTGTGTTCCTGTTTCACTGGGTGTGAACTGTGAAATATGCTGAGTCCTGGCCACTTTGTGAATTCTTTTGGTTTTATAAGGCATTTCAATGTACATTCTACAAGCACTCCATTTGCAAAGAGAACTTAAATCAATACTGTCTTCTCATTCATCTTGCCCTCCTCCTCCCACCCCCAGCTTTAAAGATCTGTAGAGAAGCCAGGCTGTAAAACAGACAAAGGTATACTTTTCCTGCTTCATGAGTGGCAGCATGGGGTTAGGTGGCTGCTTGGTCTTTTTCCTCCCAATCCCATCAGAGCTCTCAAACCACTGGCTTCCTGCATAACAATGTCTCCTCTGTTCCTGAGGAACATTCTAGCATAGAGAATGAAATATGCTACAAACATTTTTAGAACCTTGCTCCCTTCCCCTTCCTTAAAGAGCAAAGAGGGGCTAGAAGGGACATAGCATGCTGACTATACAGCTTAATTCCAGGTGTGCTTGTGCCTGACAGTGTGGCTGGGGCCTCTTGTGGAATCTGCCAGGTCTTCTGCAGCCTTAGAGAATATTTTCCCGTGGCAAGCATTTGGGCTAAGTGATAGCTGGTTCCCTGGAGAGCCAAAGATGGCAGGCCCTGTTTTTCTGGGATGTGACTCTTAATTTCCAGTTGAAAACCTAGTAGAGTTTGAACAAAGCCCCCTCCCAAACCCTCTGTCCAGTATCAAAGCTCATGGGGGTTGGGGGTGTACAGGGACAGAGCAATCAGATTGCTAAGCAGGGAGAGGCGATGGTTGTGGGCTGCTTGCATGGCTGCGTCCACACTGCCCTGGCTTCTTCAGGTCGTCGCACCACTATGGGTTCCTTTGCAGAATGGTACTCGTATAATGGTTTAAAACAACACATAATTGACTGTGCAGGATGTCAATCGATTTAGGTTTGCTTTATTTTATTTTATATATATATATTTTTTTTTGGTATCCTGTACATTGCAGTGGGTGTGAAGATAGTATTTTAATATTTGTACAAAGTTTAATTTAATTTTAATTGTTCTATGTATATAACTGCATTTCTAAATAATAATAATAAAACATTCTTATGAAAGCAGTTGTGGGAGATGTGATCCTTGTAGCAAGTTTTTATTCTTTAATCCCAGGCCTGCTGGCCACCCAGTCTGGACAGTTGGCAAACTTCAGACTTGGGAGAATCTGTGTGAAGAAACAAGTCAGACGGGCTGGAGAGATGGCTCAGCAGTTAAGAGCACTGGCTACTCTTGTAGAGGTTCCCAACATCCACAAGGTGCCTAACAACCATCTGTAACTTCAGTTCCAGGGGATCCAACACCCTTCTTTGGCCCCTGTAGGAATTTCATGCACATGGTACACTTACATACAGGCAGGCAAGACACTCATACAAAAAAAAAAAAGAACAACATAACATAGAATCAACTAGTTGTGGCAAGAAAAGGGCATCTTGGATGTGTACAAGCCACTGCTGGCAGTGCAGAAGAGAGTAAAGAGGCCTGAGATTTATCTAACTCCTTACAACAAACTAGTAGCATTAGCAGATACTTTTAGCTCTAAGCACTTTCTGTACATCCACAGCAAGACCACAGGGCAGGTACCCTTATTGCCTGGGACTCCGTGCCACCTGTAATGAAACTCAAGCATAGAGAGAAACAGCAAGGATTCTATTCAAACCCAAGCAGCTAGTCTGGGGTAGCCATTCTCCCCTACAAGATACTGCCTGTCTCCAGACCTCCTGACAAACCCCTCCCAGGTGTTGCTACCTCCCTTCTGCCTTTCAGAGTTTCTGTTCTAAGTAGAGAACTTCAAGGAGAGGAAAAATTCTCATCTGGGGACAGGGGAAATGGCATACTTTTCTCTGGGTGTTGAAGTGCATTTAAGCTGTACAGAATGCAATGAGAAATGAGTTCACAAAGAAGCAGGCATGGTTCATGAGAAAAATCACCAGACACAGGTGCAGTTGCTTGTCCCCTCAGGTAAGGAATGGTGGCCCTCTCAGGCAGGAGGGGAGTATCTAGTGGAGAGGTTCCATGTGGGGTCAGCCATGGGACTGTCGCCTTTCCTTTGTCCCTAGAAGAGACAGAGGTAGTAAGCCTACAAGCGAACAGAGCCTCTAGGGTACAGGACTGTCTGAATGGTTAGCTCAGATATGGCTGGTGGGGTAGAGAGCAAAAGATTCCCTTGCCTTCTAGGGAACCCCTACAACAAAAGTAACCATCTCTCAGGTCTTTTTCGGGCTACTTAAAATAGCTTTAGGGGCTGGAAAGATGGCTTAGCGGTTAAGAACACTGGCTGTTCTTGGAGAAGACCCGGGTTTGAATCCCAGCACCCACATGGTAGC